ATAATACTATACTTTGACGCTAAAGCTATAATACGACTTTAACTGCTTAAGTGACACTGGCGTATATAAATGTCTCGCTCTGAAAAAGCTCAAATTTCCCCGGATGTATATATACGTCTCTCCAAAGTACGATCTTTTATGTACACTGCTATCCATAAAATTATTCCGAAGGCTTTGGAATGCAATAAAAAGACCTTGACAGTGTTAGCGAAGGATTTACTTATTCCAAAGGATTTGCTTATTTATTCCTTTATTACCCCCCCCCCCATACATCACAAACGCTCGTCTATATGTTAAACGGTGGCAATGGGGAGCGAAGCGAGTAATTTTTAATCAGCATTTAAAGGATTAATTATAAAGTGTACAAAATATCAAAATATGTGTTAAATGTTGCATATAATTTTATATATAACAAGCTCATGGGGTCCCTGGTAATTAATAAACTTGTTCTTAACATTGTATTGTTAAACTAATTATAAAATACATTGCGCAGCATTGATATATTTATATGTGCATTATCAGTGTAAATGTGTACTTTATTTTTATTACACCAGAACATATTTTGTTTGCTTATTTTCAGTAAATTAATATATATTTTTAAATAATCTTTTGTTTTCGGCTTTCAATAGGCTCGCAATCCCCTCGTTGGGTTATCATGCCCCTTAGGGGGTGCATCCTACAATTTGTGAAACACTGGTTTAATGGAAATACGATATAAAGGTTCGAACAAATATTAGTGCATGAGCGTGCGTATATGTTGAGTTATATATATAATTTTAGTTTATAGTGTTTTTTTCTTCTTTTTTACAGTTCAGTTATAATCTCCCCCGTCTATTTGCCAGATAAAGAAAAAGAAATTTGAAACTGAAAAAAAAACTCATTCATCAAAAAATGTCAATTTTTTGAGAAAATGAGTTTCCCCCCCCCCCTAGACTTTTGTGATGTCTTCCAAATTAAAATGGATCGATGACTTCTAACACAATTTTGTTTCGGTAGCTGTGTCATTGAGGCTCTACTGTAATACTGGGTAGCTGATGACATTTTGAGTGAAATCTCTTACCTCGTGTGTTAGAAATCGTTAAGTATTGGCAAATTCTTAATTGTATGGGTAGAATTGATCTTTTTTAATTGTTTTTATGTACTTTATACAACGATAGAGATTCGTTGTTTTTAATTATATCAATTTCGCTCACAAATTAATGACTGGAGTATGAGTTATTTATATGCTTTTAATTTAACACCTTCAATTTCATGTATCGTTTATGGGTCACAGTTCAAGTCAATTTAATGTTCTGATTAAGTCTTTTTATAAACCTCTTTCACAGCCAATTTTATCAGACAATTCCTTTAATGCTGATAATTTTGTTATGAAACTCTTTTATTCATTGTAATTTTAAAAAATCTGATTTTTTTAAATTTTGTGTAAATTTAAACCTTTTCATTTCCGAAAGAATATATTTCGATAATTTTAATTAAGTTACCTATGTGTATGAATTGTGTTTTAACCTCACATTTTGAAACTGATTAAAGTTCATTGGAGACGGACTTCTTAATTTTAATCCGTGATAAAGTGAAATCGGAACTAGCATCCCACACTTCAAATTTCCACACCTCGCTATCGTAAGGACTTAAACAGATTGAACATGAATCAGTGTCTACATGACGGGTTTTCAGTAGCAGTATGACTCTATAATGTCGCTTACATGTTCATACCCATTTGGGCTACCGTGGACATTTTTTATATTAAATATGAAATATAATTGGTCTTTTTTGTACTGTAATTCTAAATGGTATCTTAATATTGCAAATTTAAGGGAAAAAATGGCATTTTTATGGAATGTTTCTAAAATTTAAACAACTCAAATAATAATGTAACGCATGTGGTACACGTCACGAAATTACACGAATTTTTTCCCGTCTCAGAAATTGTGTTCCAACTTTGAAGTCTTTGATGTCAAGCCAACAATATAAGTTCTACAATATTTGTTGCCTGATAATTTTGACACTTTTATATAAAATCTAAATTAGACGATCCTCTCAAATGAAAAAAAATAACTTAAAGGGAGACAGAACGATTCAACTGAAAAAATCGGCCAGAAAATGAAATCAAATTTTTTTTACAGTCTGAATTATTTTTTATATATTTTTCTACTATCTCAAAAAGTTTGAAAGCTTTAAGTTTTAAAAAATCCAGAGTACTGATAACTTTTATATTCGTTCATTAAAAAAAAAAAAAATAGCAAATTCCCGGGAGCAAATAACAACTTTAAACCCTCCCCCCAAATTACTAGTTTTCCTTCATGTAAAATGTAATTTTTTTTATCCATAAAGTATTAAATCTTTTCATATTTTTTCTAACTATTGCTCTAAATGTATGTAACGAAAATTAGTATGTATTTTTGGTTCAAACCAATACTTATTTTGTTTAAAAATAGATGAATTTAGAATTTATACACCCTTTTCGTGAATTTTTAATAAGCAATTTAAAAAATGTTTTTTTTTATTCCATTTATTTTATCACAAATTCAATACCAACTTTTGTTTAAATAGTTTGACATGCTTGTACATTCAATTTCATTCATATACGTCAATTTTTGTTGGAAGAGTGGCCCAATGTAAAATGACACCCTTATCAATTTTCAAATTAAAAAACAAATAAATAGTTTACTTTGTGTAGTATTTTGAGTAAACATCGTGTTTCGCGTTATATAAAGCGAAAGACTAAAAATAATTAGAGCAGTTTTTATTTAAATCTTACCGCGTTCCTTTCAATTTTGGAAGGAACCAGTCATAGAGATTACGCGTAGAGAATGAAATGACAACCTTCATTAATTGCGGTGATATATCGTTCCGCTATGTATTCTTGATTTAACAGATAATTAATTTTTGAAAAACCTGTAATTAAAATCAAGAAATAATGAACCTCTGATCCCCTCCTGAATGAAGAAAACAAATTTAAATTCTACTTTTATTTACTTTTAGCACATATTCGAACGTAATTTACTTTGGAAAAATAAATTAAATTAAAATAGTTGTCAATTAGGCCTCACTAAGGAATAATGGTATATTTTAGAATATATAAAAGATGATTGTATTCACTGAGTGTGGTCATTATCCTGAACATAACACTTTTGTCACTAAATGAGATTGGGAGTTACGTTAACGTCACATTATAAAGCAACACGAGGGCTATCGACGACGGACCTCGTAATTTTGAACCATGGTCAAGTGACCTGGACGATACCTGAGCTGGAATCTATCTTTCTTAACTACCACACCACACCAATGAGAGGACGTTTGAGTTCTCTACAAATTTAACGTACATCGCTCCCTTACATGGCGGTACTACACTCAAACTCGTGACACGCCACAGCCACGCTCCATTACTTTGACCACTAGGCTACCACAGCCATCCCGGCATGTAGAAGGGCTCCTACACTTAAAATCTGACCAGTTTGAAAACCTTACGTATCATCGAGTTGAAGTTTGCAGAAAAGAATGGTAGTTGACCGAGGGTCAAAATTACGAGCTCCGTTGACAATAGTCTCATGAAGTTTCAAAGTGTGACTAATGTAAAAAAATCAAATCTGATCCAATTTATTATGAGGAAATAAATGTATTCAGTAGTTAAATATTAAATAAGTGAGGTAAGAAATCATGAAATAAATCTAAGGTTAAAAAGTGTTAAGGGAGATGATGCTTTTAAATTTAGAGTTGAAAGAAAAAGGGCTTATTCTGGAAAGAGGGGAAGCTTTATAAGTTTTTTATAAACGGTTTATATTATATGGCTACTTTTCCATTTACGACCAACTCATTTAAAATGGCAAAATAAATGAATAAGAAATAGTAAAAGAAGATAACTGCATTGAGTCTCACGTTTCTCAAAATTGAAACAATACGTATTCATTTTATTCTATTATCTATATATATAAAGGAGAAAAGCGACTCACTGACTGACTGACTGACTGACTAATCACGATATCTCTGGATCTATTCAACCTACAGACTTGAAATTTGGCAGACATGTTCCTTTCATAGAGTAGACATCAGCTAAGAACGGATTTTCCGAAATTCGAAACGCAAGGGGCGTTACGGTGAGTTAAGGGGAGTTATAAATAATTGTTTCCATGTTTAAACTACTTGATGTACAATCTTGAAATTGGATAAGCAGATTCCTTTCAGAGAGTAGAGATCCGCTACAAAATGAGTTTGGTGAAAATCGACCCCCAAGTGGCGTTGCAGGGGCTTAGGGGGAGTTATAGATTCTTTTTTCCATTTTTAAACTATTTGACACACTGTCTTTAAATTTGATATAAATATATTCCTTTCGTAGAATAATGATCAGTTACAAAACGGATTTTGTGAAAACAGACTTCTAAGTGGCGTTGCGGGGGATTAAGGGGCGTAATAGATAAATATATCCGATTTTAAACTACTTCAACTACCTGCTTGAAAGTTGGTAGGTAAGTTTCTTTCCTGGAATAAATATCCGCTACAAAATAGGTTTTGGGAAAATTGACCCCCAAGGGGTGTTGCGGGGGTGGGGGGTTTAAGGGGCGTTATAAATTCCGATTTTTAAGTTACTAGACGTACAGTCTTGAAACTTAGTAAGCAGATTCCTATTCATAGGGTAGAGATACGCTACAAAATGGGTTTCGTGAAAATTGCCCCCAAGTGGCGTTGCGGGACTTAAGGGGCGTTATAGATAATTATTTCAATTTTTAAACTATTAGACGCACAGTCTTTATATTTGATAAATAGATTTCTTTCATAGAGTAGAGATCAGCTATAAGAAGGTTTTGTGAAACAGTCCTCTAAGTGGCGTTGCAGGGGATTAAGTGGCGTAATAAATAAATATTTTCTTTTTTAAACTTGATGTTAATACACAGTTTTTTTAAAATATTAATTCAATAATTACATTTTATTTCATTAATGAATAAATAGTAACAAACAAAAATAATAGTTTAATACCATATATAAAAAGGAAAATCGCTCGTTGTATCCCTGTACCGTCATGGATAGTGTTTTAGACTTCTAATCCAAAGGTTGTGGGTTCGAATCCCACCTGGGATGGCCTAAATTTTTTCGCTTTCTTTTTTCCACTTAATGTTGTGATTCCGTCATATGCATTTACATATCTATATTAATTGTAATTATTTAATAAAAAGTAACTAAAATAAAAAATTTTCTCTGTTGACCTAAGTAGGAATTGACTTAATTTTTTCTTATGTTACTTACTTGTTACATTGAATGTACAACATTTATAATCACTTTGAATGAACCTTCTTGCGTCATGTTTGTCGGAAGGTACTCAAAAGTACTTGGTTCACTTCCTTTCAACAGACGAAAGGGTCCTCTTACAAGAAATGTCTGCTCTTGATTCAAGTTCAACTTTCTCCCCCGCATCATATGACGGTTCTAGCTCATGGCCAGCAAAACATCTCAGATCCCCCCCCCTCTTTCAACTGATCACAAGATCTTCATCTTTCAAGCGTAGCACCTTTCCTTTTTCGCAAAAACTATCGAATTAAACAACTCCCCTTTCAGTAAGCCTAAACGGAACCCTGGTCTGTCCTAGAGATTTTGATCCCAAGGTAGAGCCAAGGGGAAGGCATTCTTCTACGCAACTCGTGAACCTCTGTCAAACGCGGAATAAACTATCGCCTGCAAACCTATCCTTCTTTTCCGCTACTTTGTCAAAGGATGGAGCGGATGAACTAACATTCGATGCCCCCCTCACACCTTTACGTCCCCCCCCCGTTTCATCCTCTACTTCTATTTCGCTCAGACTCCAGACAATGGCGTCACTGGTAAGAATGATGACATAGTAAATTCCGCCATCCGATTTTTTTAACCTTCTTTTTGTCCCTTTTTTACTGTCTTTTTCCCCCCTCTCTTACTCTGTTCATTTTTTTTCGTCTGCTTCGACAGGTTCCTGTACCCCCACTGTATTCCCATAGAGAAAAATATACAGAAACCGGATTAGTTTTTTTTTAGCCTTGCCGATTTTCATCAACTAATTCAATGTTTATTTTTGTCTGAGTCCTTTCAAGATATTCGGTGGTTCAGTGAGTACGTCTGATTGGAGTCGAGACCGCAATGTGGTACGCTTGAATTAAAAGAATCCTTTTACTGGTAATGTTTGAACTTTTTTGAAATTTTAAGGGAACACTACTTTTTTCCCCTTCGAACAAAAAAAGGACACTATAAAATTATAAGCTATTAATGATTAATTAGCACCTTTCGATTTGTATTCAAAATTTGAGGTACTCATCGTAGTTTAAATATGCGAAATTGCAAATTATTCCGAATAATGAATGGAACTCTTCCATAATTTCTGAATTTTGGTCTTTGTTGAGTTAAATGTGGAATTTTTTTAACACTTTGAACATTTTGCATACTTGAGAGTAAGAGTTATAATAACGTCGCACTATAAAACTATTGGCAAGGGTTATTGGCGACGAATCTCCTTAATTTGAACCTCAATTAAAAAAGGAAGACAACACCTAAGCTGACCCCCTCACCTAACTAACACACCGCATCAAGGGAGAGCATTGTGCCTCAGCAGATTTAACGTAAATCGACGCCTCTACACGACAGATCTTCAGTGGCATTCGTCTCGCTCCTCACACGCGTGACATTTTACGTAATTGAGACCTCAATAATATGACTTCACCAATATTAGCATCCTATCTTACGTATATAATGGATTTGACATTTTCGTTCGCTTTTAAAATGTAATAGTTTTTTGCTATGCAATTTCACTAGTGTGATTTCCTGTTTCTCATCGTGCTAAAGTTAAAATAAATCTTTCTTCTAAAGAATAAAACTATGTCAAACATTTATTTAAATTTGAAATAACTTATCATGCTAGGCATAATACACAAAAAAATTGTTTGACGCTACTAAAAAACGTCTTGTAAATATTTGATCCACTATCATATATTTATATATATAGTCTAATAATATGATTACTTAGTATTATTTTGATCAAGAGTCTTAATATTTGCAGCGATTTTTTGTAATATTTATATTATGCGATGTCTCCACAACTTATTGGTTTGATTACTTCGGTGAATTATTAGTACGAATAAGTATTTTATATCATACTGGAATTGCTTAAAGCTCTAATCCTTTTTCTTAAGTTATAAGTATACATATATATGTATGTAATATGTATCTCTTGCCTTATATGTGTGACTAGCTTGAATCACATATCATAAGACACAAACATAGACATTAATATAAGCATTACTTGGTCAATATATATTAAGATCTTGTTGATAATGGTATAAGATGGCTAAGTTCTCTAAGTAGATCCAAAAGTTTAGTTCAATAAAGGTATTGCATTTTTAACATTTTTATTACTAAAATTCAATAAACCTTTTTGTAAATGTAAACGTGCAACTCAAAAGGCCTAAATTCTGCTTAAAAGAATTACCAATTAAATATGGCGATTCCGTTTGATAGCACGCTATTGTCTGTGACACGGAAATCGAGTAATGATGAGTAACTCGTCACGTTCCTAGAGTAAGTGTCGATGTTAAAACATTGGATTAAAAAATTAGCAATTTTATTACCAAAACTTATTTATTTGGTTAACATAAACACATATATTACATATACATTACTCAAAAAACGCAAGAAAAATTAAATACATATAAAGGTAAGAATAAAAAAAAATCAGTAAAAATCAACCTTCCGACTTCTTTGCCTTTGCCCCTTTTTAGTTTAACATCTAAAAAATATTTTTCATTGCACATAAATAGATTCGTTACGCGAACTTATTCGCTTTTTCAGCCGGAGTACATGGAAAAGCATAAGATTATCTTATAATTTTTTCATATATTTTTATTTATATGTTTTATACTCCGGTCCTGCCTCAAAATATTCTAAGCATCTTGAAATTTGAGAATATGTTCTTTCTTAAAAGATACAATTTAAATAGCCTATAGTTCCCCCTTTTTACTCACGACGAGTATAATCGTTATGACACAAAATCCTGCAACTTCTCCATGACGAGTATTTTCGTTATAACACAAAATCCTGCTAATTCTCCATGACGAGTATTTTCGTTATATCACAAAATCCTGCAACTTTTCCATGACGAGTATTTTCGTTATAACACAAAATCCTGCAACTTTTCCATGACGAGTATTTTCGTTATAACACAAAATCCTGCATCTTCTCCATGACGAGTATTCTCGTCAATAACAGTTAACTAGTCAAATCTGCCGAAGCTCTAAGTCCTCTCATTGTTCTTTCGACGTGGCAAAGAAGCGGTAGAAATTTCGAAAAAGGAAATTTTAATGACATTTATGTAGAAGTCTCCCACCCCCTAAGAAGTTCTAACACCCAGAGGGGAAATGTTATACACTCGAAAAAGCAACTCCGACCCTGTAGATTGTGAAAGCAATTCATAAACAGTAAATGATACCGTTAAAATTTTTACATTTAGCGATATTTTCTTAAAAATATTTATTTTTATAAGTGTTTGACAAATTTTGGAAGCGAATATTTAAGCAAAAGTTAAGAAAATGCAGCTCGAGGTTCCTATTATAGAAACACGAAAGAAAAAAAAATCTGGAGTCATTCACCAATTTCTGGTTTGTTGCTTTTGCATTGATCCTAATGCTAACAAGTGGAATTAAAGTGACAATTTATCACTACATTTTATTTATTTTCTAAAATATTTCCATAAATAAAATGCGTTTTATATATAGTTTATTATTATTTTTCTCACTTATCGTTTATCTTTCAAATTTTTGCAGTTTTATTTCAAATGTATCATAACATTTAAAAAGCACGAAAATATTTGTTTTTTTTACAAGACGCGTGAGAAGAGTCTTGCTTGAGCAAAGAAACCTTTTTTTTATACCCTCTCTATTTCAGAAATATTGAGAAGAAGAAAAAGATCTTGGGGGAACTAAAATTCTTGGGCCTTAGAAAACTTCTTTTGGCCCTTAACACTTTTGTTAGTCTTTTAACCATCGGCATGTCGCTACTTTCATGCCATTGGGTTCCATTGGAGTGTTACTACCGAATCGCTTTTTTACTTTTTCTTACACTCTCCAGCGAACTTTTTATTATTTATCTATTTATTTGCGACTTGTTTTCTCCCAGAAAAGAGGAGGAGAGAATCTTTTTGATCTTCTTTTTTCCTTCTTTCTTTCGAGTCTCGCCGCTTCTCTTGGCGTTGATTCGTTAGAATTGTTTGTTTCCCTCAGTTGAAGGATTCGAAATTAATCGATTGGTGTCGCCGAATGATAAATCGATTAATTTGCTAAGCGGTTCCGGAATTAATGGGATCTTTTCCAAATCCTACAGTTCATGGATCCGTTTCATTGAAAAAAAATGAGAGGGTTAATGCCATTGGAATGATGAACTTGAGTGAATGAGTGAGAGACATTTATATTAACATAACTCTGTAAGACATCACATGGGTTATTGGCTATGGACCTCGTAATTTTGAACCATTATCAAGTGACAAGGATGACACTCCCCTCTCCTAACTATCACACCACACCAGCAGAAAGATATTGAATCTCGACAAAATAGACCTGAGTGAGTGAATATTAACGTCGCACTGTTCAGCTACATGAGGGCTTTTGACGACGGATCTCGTAATTTTGAGCCATGGTGAAGTGACGAGGACGACACCTGAGCTTGCACCCTCTCTCCTAACTAATACACCACACCAACGGGAGGACGTTTGAGGTCTCGACAGATTTAACATGCATCGCTCCCCTACATGGTGGGTCTTTAGTGGTACTGGGCTCGAACTCATGACATGCCAACCATGATCCGATACCTTGACCACTGGGCTACCGCAGCTCTAAAATAGACTTGAGAGTCAGTGAGAAAGTGAGTGAGAGATTTATATTAACGTTGTACTATATAGGAGCGCGTAGGTTATTAGTAACGGACCACGTCATTTTAAACCTCGGTCAAGTGTTGAGGTCAACACCCGAGATGGCACTCCATTCTCTTAACTAAAACACCCCATTGTACGTCATTAGAACTCGACAGATTTAACGTGCCTCTAAACGGTAGATCTTTAGTGTGGCACCAGG